TTAATATTATATATTATAATTATGTTATCTCATAGAAAGTTCAATAAAGTTTTTTTGTTGTGTGTAAGGACATGGCGCCATCTATAAATGTAGTTAGCGTTGACTTGCGTCAAAGATATTAAATGCTCAAATACAGCAATAATGGGGGTGTAAGGGATTGTTAACCCCCAGTAACACGCCTCGTGTTATGTACTATCATCCCACAAAGTTTGGTTGAGATTGGCCCAGTGACCTAGAAGTAGTTAGATAACGGACAAACAGTGTTTTTTGTGCTTTATATATAGAGATGCTTAAGAGTTTTATGCTACCTTTATCATAGTATGATAATGCAAAATACATTTAAAAATTAAAATATATTACCATTACGTAAATTATCAATTAATAAAGCATTATATAGATTTGACAAAGATCTGTAGAGTTGGCAAAATATAAAATTGATATATGAAACAAGAGCTGAAGAGCTCAGAAATTTATAACTTCATAAATTTACAAAAGGAAATATTCAGAACAAGTTATTTGTATCAAACATCAAACTTTATAATAATAGTCCAAACGAAAATAAGATCACGATTTAATGGTAAAAAAATATAAGTATCAAATCGGAATTGGAGAAATTGATAACTAATATTGATGAGCCTGAAAATATATTTATAATACTTACATGCATTTAAAATAAAACATTATCAATATATAAAATTTAAAGTCAAATGTTATGAATACTTAAAATATAAATTATTATAAATTAAATATTGTTAATGGATGCTTAAAATCTTGTATATTCATTACATATTTATGTATGATTATAAATGCAGTTGTATATTATAAATAATATTTATTATACTTAGTTTAAGTTCATAAAGCAATCATAATCCACATTCCAGTAAGTCTTGCAGATCATATTGTGTATTGTAAACGTTTTCTTAGTTTTTTCATAAAGTTTTTCAATAAGAAAAAAACTATTAAGAACCATGTAAGTGTAATTTGCCTGTAGCGTCGTAGATCAATGTATTAACTTATGCGTAATCTATATTTCATGCACATGCTGAAGACTCCACTACAGACTTTATTGTAATACATATTTATAGTTAGCAAGTATAGACGGTGTATTGTGTATTGTGTATTGTATTGCTAAAGATCCTTAGATAGGGCCGGCGTGGCTTAGTAATCAACGAGAGTTTATCTATTTCCTTCCCGCATAAACGCGTTTATCGGACAAATCACAATATTTGATCAGTCAAAAGTAGATTAAGAGGTGGCGATGGGTGCTGTTGACTAGCTGTCTTTTCTCTATCCAATCAGTTCAAAATTAGGGACTGCTATGCGCTGATAGCGCTCTATGTATAACTGCATTAATATTCTAAATATTATTTTATTCTGTACTTAATGCTTTTAAGAAAATACCATGGAACAAGGAAAATAAAAAGTTAAAAGTCCATTGCTGTAAGTATACCAAACTGGTAAACTCTCATACATTATTAGAATATTGTTCAATTCAAGTATTATTACAGATATTAATATTTTAACAAGTATTTGATAGTGTATTCAGAAAATGTTATGAAAGGGTCTGTATTTTCATGTTTTTTAGATGTTTATATTCATCTCTTTCAGGGGCAATCCAGACAAATGTGATTACTTTGGCAACACAGCTCTTCACTACTCAGTAGCCAACGGTCACATGAATTGTGTTTCATTTCTAGTGAACTTTGGTGCCAATGTGTGGGCTCTAAACAATGACTTTCAGTCTGCCAAGGACGTGGCTGTTATCAACTGTCGGGACGAAATTATGAGGTTCTTAAACCGGTTGTTAGACATGCAAGTGAAGCAAAACAGCAAGCAGACCTCTAAGTTGAAGGACAAAGCCCTTCGAGACGCCGAGAAACGCGTGAAAAACCTACAAAAAATTCAGAGGAAGGCTACGAAGCTAACTGAGCAGTCCGAACGAGAATTAAAGAAGCAGTGGTGGAAAATGTCCAGTGTCGACATCCACTCAGATAACTGTGGATTGAATCTGCCTTTTGTGGATACTGGCCAAACTCTCAAAACGAGTTCTCAGCTTCTGTATGCCAAGTCATCTAACTCCTCAGATATTGTCATAGATGGTCAGATGATGCAAAGTACGCAGAGTTTGAAATTAAACCGGGGTGTTTTGTCTAAGAAAGTTCAGCAGAGAAAGCAGGAGACAGTTAGAAGTGAAGTGAATTCCAAAGAAATAGAAAAAGGAAAAAATAAATTATTGCATTCATTATTTGATCAACGTCGAAACACTGAAATGATGTTTTTTTCCAAGTATGATCCCCAGAACAATAAATTGGAAAAACAGCATAGACGTCTGAAAGACAGCTTTAGTAGCTGGAGTAAAATTTCTCGTTCTCGAAGTGAGCCATATATTCTCCAGCCCGAAAGTTCTATATCAGAAGACGATTTTTCTGCAGTCAAATCCTCCAAAATTCTTAAACGCCCCAAATTTGGAAGTACGGCGCTTTCTGGCTCCATCACTGGAAGTCTGCGTTATCTATCTAGTAGCGAGGATGACATTTATGGAGATTCCATCCAGTCTAGTGAAAAGTTCGCGGAGCAGAAGAAAGACGATGTTAATGACAGTATAGGAAGCGCTAGTAGCTTAGCTTACCGATACATGCCCTGGAAAAATGAAGAAGCAACAGTGAATAATAATACACCTGATTTCACGCCAATAATCCTGTTTCTTGCAGCTAATGAGATGACTGAATACCTACCTCTTTTTATGAGGGAGAAAATTGATCTGCAGTCTCTTGTACTGTTAACTGATAATGACCTCAAGGACCTTGGTCTGCCTCTAGGTCCTAGGCGGAAGCTGAGCCGAACCTTAAAAATCCGAAAGGAAGCTCTAGAAAACCCAGGGCTAGTAATCGATTCTAAGGTGTAAAGCGCCAATGTAACGAATTTCGGAATCAAAGTTATGACCAAAGTTTTAGAAAAATAGAATGGAGTATCGATATAGATACTGTTGTTGTAGAGCCAGATCAGAATAATGAACAAATAATTTTAGACATTATTTTTATTAGTTGGGTTTGGCAGGGCCTGGTGGTTAGGATGATCGACATGCAATCTGAGGGTTAAGTGTTCGAATCCCCGTCACCAAACATACTTGTACTACATGGTTGCCGACTGTGCCACCCACCCCAATATAAAAATTCTTGGCTTACAACAATAGGGACGACCCAAAATAGTTGGGATTAAGATCATAAAAGGAAAAGAAAAATATATTAGCTAATATATATATATATATATAGATGTACCTTAGCTGGGTCATAAAAGAAAAGTATTACGAATTCATTTCTATAAATATCCAGTCATGACAGTAGAGAAAAGGGGATTTTATTCACTTGTACATTTGAATGATATTTTATATTCACAATAGGCTAAACGGTTCAAGTATAACTGTCTTTAATTTTGAACTGGGAACTAGAGGAAAAGAAACTATCCAGAACACCCAATGCCTGAAACAGTTACTCTTATTTACTCTCTCTAACGGACTCGGTGGAATTGACCGATCACGTGAGCACTTTGTACTCATTATAGTTTTGATACTACTAACTTTCAATATAGTATGTGTACCTTCACAAGATTTGGCAAACTTTCAGTAAATATTACAAATCTTTTAACAAACAAAACATCAGATTTTTAGTGAAGTAATTTTAATAAACCAAAAATAAAAAGATATGTCATTGAATATATCAAGTCTGTTTTTTTACTAGTTCCAGTGCAAAGTGATTTGTTTGTGCTTGAATTTCGCGTAAAGCTACACGAGGGTTATCTGCGTTAGCTGTCTCTAATTTAGCAGTGAAAGAATAGAGGAAAGGCAGGTATCAACGAATAGTGGGATTAACCATTACATTATAACGCTCTCACGGCTGAAAGGGCGAGCATGTTTGGTGGGATGAGGATCCAAACCTGCCACCCTCAGATTGCGAGTCAAGCGCCCTAAACATCTGGCCAAATGAATTTCAAATTAAGCTTAAAAGTATTTTTTTTTCATCTAAAAAATCTCAAATATCATTTGCGTAATCTCTAAAACCTCTTAAATACATTTCAAACGTGTTTTTTTTTTCAATAATACCTTATATTTTATCTGTTATTTTTGTACTATGTAACTCTATTCAAGATTGGTCAGTTTGACCGACCTGGTAACCACCAAAGAAAAAAAAAACGAAATAAATTGAAATCACCCTTTTCAAATTGTAACATGAAACTACAGTTGGTTAGCCTAAGTAGCATTAAACTGATAACACTATACATATATTTATTTTTTAATTTTGTTCTTTTATTGCCCTTGGAACCGTGTCTAAATACTATTCGCCTAAGTTGTAAATCACTTAGCCAACGTGCAGCTCATGTTACACTATTGAATTATATTACCCAAGAGCTACTTGGAGCTGCTCACGTGCGTATCTCATGAAAATTTATTATTATTAATTTTACTTAATCTATCCTTACCTAACCTAAAGAGTTTGCTATTTTTACAATTCAGTTACTTTTATAATAACAAATAAAGAATACACATGAAAACAAAAAATAAAGTACTTACTTGGGCTACCCCCAGTGGCAAAGCGGTATGTCTGCGAACGTCCAACGCTAGAAACCGGGTTTTGATACCCGTGGTGGGCAGAGCACAGATAATCCATTGTGTAGCTTTATGCTTAATTCTAAACAAACAAAACTTACCCGGGCCTTCTTTTTTTTTTTGCTGTCAACTGTCATGACACTTAACTGTACCTTTTCTATATTAATGGTAGTAGTGCAATAAATAATTATTATTTAAATAAATAATGTACCAAAGAACATAGAAAAATAACATGCAAAATGCAGACAATGTCCCATAACTATCACAGTTTTTATGGCTTTCTAGCTATGCTGTTACAAATTCATCCAAACTAGTCGATATGTTTCCCGTGGGAACGAAGATTCTGAAAGATAAACTGACAATTCTCTGTAAAGAAAACAACGTAATATAATACGTCATTTGATAGCAAAAATCTTGGCTTCCTATTGGTTATAAATAATGTAGTATTAAACTTAAGGGAGAATTATTAACAAATTCTGAGAGAGAGGATGTGACAGGTGGATCTGGCAAGAGGGGTCGGATTTTTGTATTTGATGGTTCTGTAACCAAACATGATTGAAGGCTGTGAAAAGTATGCTGAATCTGAGCGATTACACAATTATAGTTAGTAATTTACGTTAAATTTCGTACTTATTGGAGGGGTGGTGAATAAATTAGAGAAGAGGGGATGCCTAGAGAAAGAAATGTCACATTGAGTGAGAACTAGTGGAAAATTAGTATTTTTTAAATGTTGCCTTATAAAACTTATATACTATTAAAATATGGATGATATAAACAGAAAGTAGTTTAATTAAATTTGAATATAAGTCACTAAAAACCTCGTGACATGCACAGTAAATGATTCCTGTGCAGAGAGGATTAGATCCTCTGAGAGTTTTGAGTTTAACCTGATGTGGTTTCAGGTTAGTAACATGAAATCAAATATATACACCAGTGAAAAGGAGGTGTTGATAAACTGATCGATACTAATGTAGAAGGAATGAGTACAAAAATGTCACACTTATAAACGAGTATGTTCTTTAAAATATTTATTATATTTGCCCAATTTACATTGTAGTTAGTTAGGTCCATAAATTGGTGTTTATTTGTACTTTATTTATCATTATTTTAAACCTGATATAAATTGACACACAATATTAGTAATGGAGTGTACTTAATTCAAAGAATGAAATGGATATCATAGTAGCAGTGGTGGCTTGTACTTGATAATATGTGTAATAATGGTTATATCATAACCCCACTAGAAACACAAAGTACAGTAAAAGGTAAAGGTATTTTAGGTGTATCAATTTATTTATAGATGAGTTTGAGTCATTGGTCTTGGAAGTGTCATAACTGTAAAAACGTTGGTAACAACTGTCGTGCCAGACAAGGCCCATCTATTGTTTCAACTGAAAAACTTTGAAATAACCTTCAAATCAATATATAAGTAATCATAGATTGTTAACCATGTAAATATAACTCAGTTACTAAAACTGACTCTTTAATTGCTTATATTTGTAAAACACTGAATAATCATAGAATACCTAAATTTGTACCAGCTCTTGATTTTCATAACTTTGCTAGGCTTGCATGCTCAGTTGCAAACTTCCTAAAAAAGTTTTTTTGTTGGTTATTCCTAATTCTAGTTTTCCATTGGTTCCAATAACAGTGCAGCCAGCCTCAAAATCCTTTTTAAGGTTGATGAGAAAGTTCAGTCTGTCACAAACACGATGAAGGAAAAAGAAGATTATTGAGCATTTTGTTACAAGACCAAGCAGTGTTCAAAACTTTTATGCTTAAAACAAATAAAATATGGATATCAATATAAAAAACGAAATAAATTATTTGCCCAATAAATCATCGAGGCTACTGAAAATATGTCATTTCTCTAAAATACCTTATAAAATAAGCTGTTTACAAACCAAAGGTTGTTATGACAACAAAATTTTTCTAAAACATCAACAAGAAATAATATAATCAAATACAATGCTATAAGGCATTTGAAAGCTACATAATTATAACTCATACACAGTGATACATTGCGTGGAGTTTCAAGCTTCACTCTCTGTTCACAAATCATATAAAATGGACGCACTTAAACGTCTCAAACTGTTTATGCGTTTTCTTTCACCTTGTATTTATTTTTTATTTTCCTTTTATCTCATTTTGTCTATCATTGTTTTAGCATAATCATTTTAGCTTACTGGCTTGGCCACGCTTTCATGTAATGTTTTGTTAAATATTCATTCACAATCGCCTCATTGAAAAAAAAAAGACATGATTTTGTTTCTAAATAATGATTCCAACAAAAAAGACAACCACTGGAAGCTATGATATTATTTTTTTCATTTCTAATACATTTTATTAATAAAGTAAATAACACAGGTAAATACTTTTACAGACCACTTAACTGTACCTATATGTGAAATATCAAAGCAATGTGTAACATTGAATATCCCAGGATTGCCCCTTTTTCTCCCTTATCAATGGCGTGAGTCTAAGAAAGTGTTGAGTCTATATCACTCTCTATCTTATCCCACATACACAATGTGTGTAATTTTGTATTAATACCTTTATCGTACAATAATAGGCTCATTGATATTTTTAGTGGAACAAAGATGTGGTATAAGAAATTCAAAATGTATTTAAGGATTATATAAAAATCATTTGTGTGACTTTATAGTTATTATAACTTAGAGAAAAATATATGTTTAGAAAGAATTTGTGTAAATAATTTGATAAGAAATCATGAGAAACACATATGAAAAAAGAAGTTATACACATGAGAAAAATGTTTTAAACATGACTGAATAAAACTTTATTTGAAATCGTTACATAATCCTTAGAAGTTTAGTCCATAATCACAATTCTGACCATTTGGATCGTAGAATCTGTTTTGAAAATCAAGAAACTCGTATTACGAAAACTCATGAAGAGTTTCGAGTTCACAAATCAATCAATTGTCTAAAGAATCAGTCTATTCTGAAAACTATCTTCAACAAGATGGCGAATTTTGAATATCGAGCCACAGTACCAAAACTTCAGTTGGATAAGACTAGGCTTCTGAATTTTCTTTTTTCTGTCACAATGATTTTGTATTGATGTAGGATTTTAAACATATCTAACCTTGTTCTCATTAATTTATTATTGTGGATTATTTAGTAGATAACGTGTTTAAATATTAAAAGATATATATGAAGCCAATCTATTATCTATTTTACCAATTCTCACTGTGGTTTACGTAACTGTTTGCTTTTCAAACTGGATAGTAGAGATACTGTTATGTTACTATCGATCTCGAAATATTATAAATAACTTTCAGAATTAATAAGACTAGACATAGATTTTGAAGATGTTTGGAGTAATAGTTGTGATTCAATCACAAAGTGTATAAGTTACTTGTTTTTTTTTACATGTAGCATTAATTCCCTCTTTATAAAACAAGTAGAAGCTGAATATAATAGTCCATTGGAACAGAGTAATCCTTAGCGTTTTGAATGTCATAAAACCCTTTCAAGCATTGTTTGTATTGCCCAAATAATAGACGAATCGAAAATATGAAAAAGCATCATCAACTTGTGTTTA